TGTTATCCAAATTCACAAGAATCTAGAAAGATCGGTGAGTTTTAAACGAAGACTTAATATTACGTCTAATAAAAAGTTCGTTACCAACCTCGATGTTTCAGATAACAATTTCTTCCTGGTTTAATTTAAGTGTCTTCCGCGTTCTTTGCGGGCTAAAGGATTTTTAGTCAGTTCGAAGTAAAATAGCAACCAGGATTCGTAGAGAGGCAATAAGCTTTTATTGACAGCGCACAACAACAACCAGTCGCGAGTGCTCGGGCACGAATGCTGACGAAGGCAGAGAAGCACACACAGTTAAAGGATCGCGGTGGTCAGCTTTTCCTGTCCATACATATACACACACGTAATTCCCGCAGGAGGACAGCAATGCCCTCCTATGCTGATCTCGTGACTATGCACAGTTTGTGGAAGCCCTTTTTAGAGAGGAAACGAGTGAGAGAGAAACATACCAGAAATACCGGGGAGCCTGCATATGCAGCTCTACCCATAAAATATTTGGGATCACATAATATTAATAGAGTTATGATAATAATATTAATGGAGTCATGATAATAATATTGACAGAGTTATGATAATAATATTGATACAGTTATGATAATACAGTAATATTAATACATTTATGATAATAATGTTATATTAATAGAGTTATGATAATAATATTAATAGAGTTATGATAATAATATTAATACAGTCATGATAATAATATTAATACAGTTATGATAATAATATCAATACAGTCATGATAATAATATGAATACAGTTATTAATATTATAACACAACATGAAAAGGTGATAGATTGCCCTTCATTTCCTTTTGCCTCTGTGTTCCAATCTTTTGCTGCAATCTGCTAAAACCCAACATCACAGGTCATATCGCAAACCTTGAAAACTTCCACTGAAATACATGAAGAAATAAACACAGAGATGCCCGACCTAGACAGTGTCATGAGTCCGCCAAAGCCGATGCCCAGCGAGAAGAAGATTTGACTCAGGGCCTGGTACCAGACCTCAAAGTCCGCCAATTTGTTCAGGTCCGGCTGCAAGTAGAACTTGATCCCGTTGCCGAATCCCTCCAGAGTAGCTGCTTTCACCAAGAGCACAAGAAGCACTGCGTAAGGGAACAAGGCCGTAAAGTACACCACCTTGCCCGACGTGGACACGCCGTTTTTCATGGCCAGGAAGCACATGACGTAAGCGATGAACACGGAACCCAGGATCCCGGGCACCACGTACCCGTAGTCGTCCCAACCTGCAAACGCAAAAAAAAAAAGAGGTCAATTAATACAATTTGACCTTGATGTAAGAGTGAGACCCCCACATGCAGACACCTCAACATGCAGATAATTCATCATACGGACGCTACTTTTCCCATAAAAAAATCAACATAAAAGGCCCAAAATGAGGACACTGACTCAACATTTTGTGATGAAATTGAAAATAAGTTTCAGGTCAAATTACAAGAAACAGATATTTCCAACCCTAAAATTGATGCAAGAAAAGTTCTTGGGCATTTCTCTCATCAATTTATCATCCTTTGAGCTAATTAAAAAAAATTACCTCCAGCATAGAGGGACTTCCTTCTCTCTTTTTCAGAACTTACAATATAAATGTCTCTTACGGTTGTAAAGATACATGAAATGTCTCCATAGTCATAAGTTAAGTTCAAATGTCCATATATTGTGTTGAAATATATTGATTGAATCAGTTTAAATTGGAAGACAATTTTTATTTTCATGGAATTACGGTGAGTACTTTGCGCATAAAACACCAATTAGAAATTATATAATGTAAGTCCAAGGGAAAATGAGACTCGACTTAGGGACACTCTTGATGCACCAATTACGTCCACATCTTGGGGGTCTCACTGCACAATAGCGCCACCGCGCATTACAGTACCACTCCCTCCATCTAGCCACCGACATTGAAAACTACACCCCCGCCGCTACGCGCATAGATGTCGCTCGCGCATCGCATGCTGCTCACCAGCCACAGACCCGTCCGCCAGCCGGATGTCCAAGACCTTGTCGTAAAAATAACTAAACGCGGGATCCTGCACCGGCACCCATGCAGTACCATTGCTGTCACCACCAGCACCAGCACCAGCACCGGCACCACCGACACCATTCCAACACGCTAGCCCTTGACAAAAATCCTCCTTGGGAAAACAAGTCCCGTTGAGCACCACGAAGTCACTCACGTTGTTACTACCACGACCACCACCACCGCCGGCAGCGGCAGTGTTGCCAGCGCCGGAACACGGCCCGACGCACCCGTCGAAACTGTAGCTGGGGTCGCACTTGACCCACGGCAATTCCCGCGTCACGGAACTCACGGCATAGTGAATCACGTAGGCCATGATGACGACGTACTGGATGGTATTCACGTAGGAAATGTAGTAGGTGGTGAGTCCCAGTCCACGAAAGGCGGGACACATGACGCCGTACACGTGAGCTGGCCCGAGGCCCGCGAACTGGGCCGTCGACGACTCCAGCAGCATCAGCGGCATGGCCACGGTGATGACGAAGAAGAAGTACGGGACGAGGAACGTGCCGCCGCCGTACCGGTACACTAGGTACGGGAAGCGCCAGATGTTGCCGAACCCGATGGCGTAGCTGATGGACGAGAGGAGGAACTCGATTTTGTTGCCCCATTGCTGGCGCTCCACGAGGCTCTCGGACGAAGGCGTCTTCGAGCCCATATTGATGATGATGGTACCACTCAGTCAGTCAACACACACACAGTGTTCTTCTCCTTGCTTTCTTTCTTTCTTTCTTTTTTAAATTATTCTCACAGCCTGTTCAAGTCTCTTCCTCTGATGAATGAATATATGGACACCAGCACAGAAAGAGAGGGAGAGAGACAGAGAGGAATTACCACCTGGAATACAAAAATAATAATAATAATAAACAAATATTCAAATTGAGGAACACAGGCATAACATGGAGGTGAACCTCCATAACTGAAACCTCAAATACAGTGAGACCCTGAGATGCGGACATAATTGGTGCATCAAGAGTGTCCCTAAGTTGAATTGTCCCTAAGTCAAGTGTACAGTTCATTGAAATGTTGGCATCTGTAAAAATAACATTCAAGTGAAAAAAGTAGAAGTCCCTCTACGCTGGAGGTAATTTTTTAAAAGTAGCTAAATGGATGGTAAATTGGTGAGATAAATGCCCAAGAACTTATCTTACATCCATTTCAGGGTTGGAAATATCTGTTTTTTTTTGTAATTTGGCCTGAAATGCATTTGCAATTTTAACACAAAATGTCCATATGTCAAATAAGTGTCCTCATGTTTGGCCTTTTTTATTAATTTTTTCTGGCAAAATAAAAGTCCCCATGTCAAATTGTCTGCAGGTCAAGGTGTCCACATATGGGGGTCTCACTGTACCTCCCTAAGTCAAAATTTTTTTTCAGGTCCTGTCTGAATCCCCTTATAATTAATGCATTTAAAACTTCCCTAAGTTGAAGGCTTTTCCCCTGAAACCTCCATAAGTCAAATTTTATTTGGCCCATTGACTTTTATTTTCTTGACAAATGAAAGAAAAAAGCAATAAAAACAGAAATTGATTGATTTTAAAAGGAGGTGAGAGACTTGATGGGGCAAATGAACCCTGCCTCTAAGTTCAGGATGCTTTCAACTCATTTAAGAAACAATTTCAGCCTCATAATATCACAATTTACAATTTTCAGCAATTTTTCTATGTTTCCCAGGACAAGAGGGCTTTTGTATTGTACTGTATCTCAATTCAAAACCTCCCCAAGTCAAATTTGTTTGCTGGTCCCTTGAAGTTTGACATAGACAGGTTTGACTGTACAGTATAATAACACATTTACTGGACATTGGGATCCCAAGAAAAAAATGCCCTGAAATATGGGACAATTTGATTTGGGGACACTTGAAATAAAAAAAAAAATCTGCCCCAACATCTGGACAATGTATAAAGATAAAAATGTCAAAGTTTCTAAAGAAATTGTAAATTTTTCATTCCTCAAGATTTTGTAGATAGATAGATAAATATGCTTTATTTTTCACATGTCATCAGTCACAAGGACACTCAAGAGGTATCAAAATTTGTTGATATGTTGAAAAAATTCAGCTACTGTATTTAGAGCAAAAACCCAACATATGGACAATCCAACTTAGGGACAATTGAAACTTAAAAAAAAAAAAAATCTGCCCCAACATCAGGACAATGTCTTAACATGCAAATACTGTTCCAACATTTCTAGAAAAAAAGGGGACACATTTTATTTCTCAAAAATTTGGACATATCTTGATCAAATTGAGCTATTTATATTCAAAAAAATTGAAAACAGCACTGGAAAGGAAGTCCTCTCAGCTATCTGCTGAAAGAATTGAGTCCTTCACCATGTGCAAATTCTGTGGCACCACTGAGCATCATCCTTGAAAAAGTAACTGATATCAGCAAGCGACATCTAGCCTCACAGTTTGAAGCATCAGACAACCGCAAGAAACCAACAATCTCATGAAGAAATAATTATAGTAGATTAAAAAATTAATCTAAAAAACCACGTTTTCAAAAAGAAAAAAATAACCTTNGTTCTTGTGTGCCAATAAAAACGTGTTAATTAATTAGAAAAAAAAATGTTCCAGGGGGTGGGATTGAACTCGGACCTCTGCGACCAATTCAGTTCACCATGGGTTTTTTTCTTGGGGCCAAGGAAAACCTGCTCACAGTTTTATTATAGAAATCTACTAAAATTATTTTATTCTTTTAAAAAAATATTCTTAAAATTAATTTTTTCACAAAAGATTGCATTGTCATCAGTTTCTAAGCTATCCTGAAAGTTTCAGCTTGCTAGCTAGTCTGGAAGTCAGTGAAATTTGAGTTTCAAAATTTGATCCGGACAAACAGACAGACAGACAGACAAGAAAAGTGAGTTCATAAAAACGTGGTAAAATATGCAACTGTGACTCATGCCATTTCCTCGACAGGGAAAATTATTCACGATTCAATCATTAAAAAAAAAACACTGCCTATCAAATTCCCACAGCCTTCGTCACTCACAGCAGCTGGTTTTTTCTTGGTATCCGTTTGTTTTGAAACCAGAAACCGAATAGGATTGTGAACCCCACCCGACTCACAAACAGCAGATCACAGTTGAATATATGCATGATCAGCAAATTTGATTTTTGAAATAAAACAATTTTATTTTCTTTTACAGTGAGACCAAGAGATGCAGACATAATTGGTGCATCAACAGTGTCCCCAAGTCAAAATGTCCCTGAGTTGAGTCTCATTTTCCCTTAGACTTACATTGTAAAATTTTTAATCGGTGTTTTATGCACAAAATACTCACCATAATTCCATGAAAATAAAAATTGTCTCCCAATTCAAACTGATTAAATCAATATATTTCAACACAATATGGGCATTTGAGGAATTGAATACTGATACCTCTGTACAGTGCATAGAACTGTTGGCATTCTCTATAAAAAATAACATTCAAGTGAAAAAGAGAGAAGGAAGTCCCTCCACATTCAAGGTAATTTTTAAAAATGAGCTAAATGGATGGTAAATTGATGAGAGAAATGCCCAAGAAATTTTCTTACATCAATTTTATGGTTGGAAATATCTGTTTCTTGTAATTTGGCCTGAAACTGATTTGCAATTTTATCACAAGGTGTCCCTATGTTGAGTCAGTGTCCTCATGTTGGGCATTTTTTATTAATTTTTGTATGGAAAAATAAGTGTCCCTATGTTGAATTGTCCACATGTTGAGGTGTCCGCATGTGGGGGTCTCACTGCATCACGCCTTCCAGAATACCAACAATAAAATCAAGACTGCATCCAGAAAAACCCCCAGAGCTGAAAATTATTATTTTCCCAAAACTGCAAAAATAAACTGACACTCAAAGGTTTTATGCCAAATTTGCCCAAGAGACATATTCATCAACATTTTGTGACTGAAATTTTGAATTGTTAAGAAAAAAAACCATGAAATTATTCATCACAATTGTTCTCATCTTTAAAAGTGTGATAAAAAATAAAGCTTATGGCCTGAGATTTATTTTCAAACCAACCAAATGGAAAAAAAGAAACTTTAAACTTCTGTCCAAATCCACAGAAAAAAAAATAAACACAGCACAATAATTGAAAAATATAAACTGTCATCACAAAATCAAAAACTCCATCCTTGCACAAATTACTCCAACAAAATTTTGAAAACGAAAATGAGACCAGAACTTTCACCATCACATGGTAAGAAGAAACTGACGTCAGAGGACCAACTTTAAACGATTCAAGAAGACGATCAGGACATTTATTGGGATCTCATCAATAATTCATATCACATCAATTGACTTCTTTCACTGTCCAAAAGTCCACTTTCAAAACGATTCCACCATGCCTGCCCTATTATTTCCATTGACCACAGTAAACATTACCATAGCTGTTCTAAACACCAGTAGAATTCTGATATCAAGAATAATAGGTTACAAATAATTTGTTTGTTAGGGCCCAGTCCAAAAAAAATTAAAAAAATTATTTGAATTTCTTCATCATAGACTTTGTGTTATGATGAAGGTTATTTCCTACAGTCAAAATGGTTTTTATGTAACAAGATTTCCCTTTTAGTACCCCTGTACTGTACAGTACTACAGTACAGTACAGTGGTGCCTCATGATAAAACATCAATGATTTGTTCAGGCAATTTTTTTTTTCAGATGAAAATCAACAAGAGCAAATTTGTTCATCATATGAATTTTGTTTTTATCACAGGGGTAGAGATCACAACCACACATTTTCATTCTACAGAGTTTGCTAATGAAAGGTTTCTTTGCTATGAGGTACTGTATTCCAACCAATTAAGATCACAAGAAAACTAAATGTCCACATGTTTATAAAAAATACAGTACAGTAAAATCTTGTAACAAAAACTTTTGGAGACCATAAAAAAGTGTGGGTATAATGATAAATTTGATATACAGGTAATAAAAATTGAAAAAACTTATGCTCAGAAATTTGTTTTACATCAGACCTGTTGCCTGTAATCAATTCTACTGTATCTTGTTTCCTGGTACAGTATTCTCAGATTTTAAGTACTGTATTGTAGGACAAACTGATTGAACAGTACTGTCTGTCTCAACTATAGAATCAATTCTTCCATTCATGATTTCACTTTTAGTACCCCTGCTCCTATAAAACTACTGTAATGTACTACAGTACTGTACACTGATAACTCATGATACAACATCCTTGATTTGTTTAGGCACTAAGTTTCTTTTTTAAAGATACAAATGAGATTTGTCAAATGAGAAAATTTGTTCATCATATGAATTTTGTTTGTAGTACAGGGGTAGAAATCACAGCCAATATGTCCATTCTAATGAGTGTTCCTTGTGTGAGGTTTCTTTACTATGAAGTACTGAATTCCCACCAATTAAGATCACAAGAAAACTAAATGTCTAAATGTTCACAAAAAATACAGTACAGTAAAATCTTGTTACAAAAAACTTTTGAAGACCATAAAAAAGTTGGGTATATTGAGCAAATTGATATAATACAAATAAAAAATTGATTTTGACATCAGACCTGATGCCTATGATCAAATTATTCTGTATCTTGCTTTTCTGGTATTTTCAGATTTTTAGTACTGCATTGCTTGAAAAACTGAATGAACACAACTGTATATCTCCTCAACTATACAATCATTTCATTCATTCAATCAATG